ATCCTTCGCCTTGCGGCGCCGGCACACCGGGTTCTAGTCCCAGTTGGGGCGCCAGATTCTGTCCCGGTTGCCCCTCTTCCAGGCCAGCTCTCTGCTATGGCCAGGGAGTGCAGTGGAGGATGGCCCAAGTGCTTGGGCCCTGCACCCCATGGGAGACCAGGAGAAGCACCTGGCTCCCGCCTTCGGATCAGCTCAGTGCGCCGGCCGTGGCGGCCATTGGAGGAAGAACCAACGGCAAAGGAAGACCTTTCTTTCTGTCTCTCTCTCTCACTGTCCACTCTGCCTGTCAAAAAATTTAAAAAAAAAACTGTTTTATAGGGGCAGGCTTTGTGGTACAGCAAGTTAAGCCACCACTTATGACTCTGGCATCCCACATCAGAGCACTGTTTTGAATCCCAGCCATTCGGCTTCCAATCCAATCTCCTGCTACTGTGCCTAGGAAGGCAGTGGATGATGGCCCATGTACTCTGGTCCCTGCTACCCCTATGGGAGACCTTGATGGGGTTTCTGAATACAGGCTTCAGCCTGGATTAGCCCTGGTTATTGTGGGCTACCTGGAGAATAAATCAGAGAATGGAAGATCCACCCTTCCTTCTTTCCTTCCTTAGATCCTTCCTTCTTTCCTTCCTTAGATCCTTCCTTCCTTCCTTCCCTAGATCCTTCCTTCCTTCCTTCTCTAGATCCTTCCTTCCTTCCTTCTCTAGATCCTTCCTTCCTTCTCTAGATCCTTCCTTCCTTCCTTCTCTAGATCCTTCCTTCCTTCCCTCCTTCCCTCCTTCCCTCTCTGGCTCTCACTTTGTCACTCTGCCTTTTGAATAAATAAATCTTTTTTCAAAAAATTTCTTTACATTCAATGCATGTAATTTCCTAATCCAACAGTGAAAATTAAAATCCAACCATAACTCTCAAGTTTGTTTGCCCAGCAGATCCACCTGGAATGACTAAAATCCTTCACCCCCAACACCATCCCAATGGATTGTCATTTTCAATCATCTAGGAGTAGGACTTAGCCATCAGTACATTTTTAAACTCCTCAGGTACAAGGCCAGGTGGAAAACAATCTCTGATTACATCCAGGCCAACCACCTGAACATAACTGTTTTCTTTAAACTTCCTCCTATCTGAATATTATGCAAAATGAAGTCAAACAAGGATTTGTTTTTCCTATTTGGATATAGTGAAAAATAAAACTAATCATAAAGAACTTTGCGGTAATAAAAAAAAAGGAAGTGGTTACTTTGATCTTGATATTTGAAACCAACTGGAATTGCTGAAATGAAGTCACAATATTTTAATGAAATGGTGAATTACATAACAAACGTGTTCCAAATCAGTAATTTTAAAAAATATTTATGAATGTATTTATATGAAAAGCAGAATGACAGAAACACAAAGATCTTCCATCGGCTGGCTTACTTCACAAATGCCTGTTAAAGTCCAGAATAGGTCAGGCCGAAGCCAGGAGCCAAGAACTCCATCCAGGTCTCCCACATGGGTGGCAAGGGCCCAAATACTTGGGCCTTCATCTGTAACCTCCTGGGCACATTAGCAGGGAGCTGGATCAGCAGCAGAGATGGAAGCCAAAACCAGGCACTCCAATATGGGATATGAGAGTCCAAAGGGTCAGTTTAACCCTCTGTGCCACAGTACCCACCCCTGAAAATCTGTAATTTTGAAGTGGAGGTATATTACATCTCCTTACCAAAGAACTGACAGCATTGTGGAACTTAGCATTAAATTCAAACAAAGAAGTGGGACAGAAAGAGAAGTTGAAAACGTTGGACCATGAAAAATGTGAACAGATTCAGATGATGGTAGAGGAACGGTCACCCGAATACAAAGTCATTCATGCGTAGGCCTGCCTGCCTCCTCTTTGCTCTTTATTCCCCTTCCCTACCTGGTGGGGATGGGCCTTAGTGGGATTCCTGACTGAGCCCACCCCTGAAGTCCCCTCTGCCCTGAATGGTGGAAAGCAGTCAGCCCCTCAACCATTGGCAGAGGTTAGAAGGGAACCTAGACCTCCTGGGACAAGAACATGCTTCAAGACCAAATCAGGTCTCAGGAGTGAGAACAGACTGATCCCCTAGAAATCAGCACTCCCTGAGCCCCCGTGGAGCTTCAGAACAAGAGCCAAGTTTCACCTGAGATACACAAACTCCACACTGGGAATTTCACCTTCTCCGAGAACAAGAATCACTGGCAGAGGACGGTGCATCTCCACTCACCCACACCTGCAGCATCACCATGACAGTAACACAGCTGCTACACAAGGACAAAACACAAGCAACACCTTACATAACCAGAGATACGCAGAGAAGTGACAGGTATGGACCTGTGTTGGAATTTCACACGGGCAAAAGTCTCCAGCTCCTTTCAAATGTATTTAGAGTGACCTAATTTGGTCAGGATTTTGGTGACACAGCTTAGCAACCAACACAAAGTAACTTCCTTATTCCTTCCCTCAATGCACCTGTAATCCCTGATTCAACTCTTCTCTCACCGTTTCCCAGTTAGGGCTCAGGCTTTTAGTTTTCTAACTGGGACCTGGGCTACTGCAATGAATCCTTATGTAGACACCCTCAAACTCCTGCTTCTGAGAGACTGAAACAGCCTTCCAATAGCCACCAGGTATCAGGCCCACCCTATGTTCTAGGTTCTGAGCTCAGTTTCATTTACACAACAATTTAGAATGCAGGCCTATTTTCCCAACTTTACAGAGAAGGAAACTGGGGTACAGAGAAACCAAATAACTTTGGTCACATAATAAATCAGTAAGCAATAGAGCAGGCTTTGAATTCAAGTTTGTCTGATCTGAAGCCCATACTCTTTAAAATAATAGTCGGTGCTTTGATAGCATTATGTGCGAGGCACTGCTCTAAACATTCTTCAGATAATTACTTAAACTAAATGCTTACAAAAACCCTGAGAGAAGCATTATTTTTCCCCACTGCCATTATACAGATGCAAAAACTGATGAGCACAGAGGTTTACCAACTCTTTTGAAATTACAAAGCTCATAACCGGCAGTACCAGGATTCAAATTCAGAAAATCTGATTTCAGCATCCATTTAGATTGTAAACATTACACACACTACTCCTTTCTCTCTAATTTACTTCTTTCTATATTCAATTCTTCATTCAAGAACTGCTTATATCATGATGGGCACCTAACATCTTACCAGATTTACATAATGGAAACCAGTATGTGATGGATTTCTTCCCTCAGAAAGCAGCAACCTAGATGGGCAAAAATCAATTAAGTGATATAAGGCAGCTAGCTACCAGGAGACTAGTGCTGTGGTGCAGTGGGCCAAGCCACCACCAGCAATGCTGGCATCCCATATTGTAGTGCTGGTTCAAGACCCAGCTTCTGCACATCCAATCCAGTTCCCTAGTGCACCTGCAAAAGCAGCAGAAAATGGCCTAAGTACTTGGGCTTCTCCCACCCTAATGGGACCCCCTGTTGGAGTTCCAGGCTCCTGGCTTCTGCCTGGCCCAGCTTGTGCTATTGTGGCCATTTGGGAAGTGAACCAGCAAATGTAAAAATCTCTTTCTCTATCACTCTTTGTGTTATTCTGACTTTCAATTAAAAAAAAAAAAAAAAAAGAGCAGTTAGCAGATTGTGAGGCCAGGCAACGCACCCCTGGGGCAGCAGCATGACTCAAGCACTGAGACAGAGAGGAGGACCCGCCTGTGGTGAACGTGAGCTCCAGACAGTGGGAATAACGCGCAGGAGAAGGGCAAAGTGAACGGCGCTGGGATCAAGGGAGGCAACTCCTGTCACATCAGACTCTGTACTGCTTTGTTCTGTTTGTATTGTTTTATCTTTCTGCAGGTCTGTGAGGCATTCTCGTTTAAAAGATAGAGAAAATAAGGTATAGAAAGTTCAGCAATTCATCCAAGGTTACACAACAACAAAATGTCTGTCTCCAACACTCTTTCTCTTAACCTATAGCCCCTACACCCAGGTAAACACAAACTGATGAGACTGGGCTATCATCAAGGACTGGCAAGGCCAGGCAGAATCTACTGAATATGACTTGTAGGCCACTGAACAAGCAATTAGGGCTCTTCGCCTTCCTTCCAGTGCCCCCACCTTTTTTTTTGACAGGCAGAGTGGACAGTGAGAGAGAGAAAGGTCTTCCTTTTCTGTTGGTTCACCCCTCAATGGCCGCTGTGGCTGGCGTGCTGCAGCTACGCACCGCGCGGATCCAAAGCCAGGAGCCAGGTGCTTCCTCCTGGTCTCCCATGCAGGTGCAGGGCCCAAAGACTTGGGCCATCCTCCACTGCACTCTCGGGGCCACAGCAGAGAGCTGGACTGGAAAAGGGGCAACCGGGACAGAATCCGGCACCCCAACCGGGACTAGAACCCAGGGTACCTGTGCCGCAGGCAGAGAATTAGCCTATTGAGCCACGGCACCAGCCAGTAGGTATATTTTCAACATTGAGCCTCTTCCTATGGTGTTCCCCCCGCAAGCAAGCTTTCTCTCTGCCCAATCACATATAGAAGCTTTCCTGGTCCAAATACAGCACAACCCTCTTGAGGCAGCCCAGTTTACCAGGGAAGGGACTGGCTAAAGGTAAGTGCTAGTCTTGGTGGAGACACAGGCTAGGTGTGGGGGACCTCAAGGATCCCCTAATCCAGACTTCTGTGTTAGGAGGGAATAACAGGCTGAGAGAGTAGAGTGAGTCACTCAAGGCTACACATAAAAAAAAAAAAAAAAAAAACAACTTGACCTCCATAGAAGTGCTTTGGCAAGCAAAGATCTGAATTCCTGTGACAGCTTGGAGAGGAGGTAACTAAGGATCTGCCTTCCCACAGAGTCTGTCTTTAGACTCCAACGCCGCAGCAACTAAAAAGAGCAAATGTTTTCTTAGCAAGGTTCGAGCTTGACTCAAATTTTGTGTTAAGAAGGACATGGAGGCGGAGGGGCATCTAGACGTGAATCATCAGCTCTGAAACAGCAACCTGGGAAGTGGGATGCTTCGGGAAAACGCACCTTCTCGAGACCTTGAGTTCTCTTCCCTCTGCAGTCAAAGCAGACCCTGATGTTACGGCACCCACTTACAGTCTCTGATAGCACGCCTGTGACAGCACCCACTGCCTGTAACAGGAAGACGGATGTCGTGATGTTTCTGCCTTTGTACTCCGAGGTGGCTTGAAGTAGTGAACCTAGTCACAGCAAAGGACAATCTGTGATCAGAGAGTAAAAGGAGCACCCATTACTTCACTGTCAGAATGTTTAAGATGTATATCAAGGTCATTACTCATCAAACTTTCCCTCTGGGAACATTGCTCTTTCTAAGGCCAAAGGACTGTGCTCTGCCTTCCATTAATATTTCCTGTCACTCTTCAGTTCCATTTTCACCAATCATCACATTAGACCATAGCCAAAAGACATAACTGTTTTTAAAATGTACTTACCTTAATGTGCTCAGAGTATTTATAGGTCAGCTTCCCTGCTGGCTACTATTAGTGTGGCTGTACAGTCTATAAAGAGGATTTCTCCTCTTTAGCTTTTGGTAAAATCTTCAGAGGGAGCAGAACCTAAATGTGTTTAAATAGACTTATGACTTTGGGCTATGTTATTCACATGGTCATTGCTAGATATGCCTCCCCTACCCCCCAACCTAGACTTATTCACCAGAAGTAATTTGAGATATTTGAGAACCTAGAGACTTAATGACATAAAGGTGAGCAAACTGGGACAACCGCTCACTCTCAAACTCTCGTCCTCTCTCACCTCCCTATATTTCCCTCCTACCTCTCTAATCACTCATGGTTAGGTTTCTTTATGCATCCCTCTCTACCAAGACTTTTCTTTTTAAAAAAAGATTTATTAATTTACTTGAAAGTCAGCTACAGAAGGGGAGGGAGAGGGAGAGAGAGAAAGAGATTTTGGTTTCCTGCCACACACATGGGAGACCTGGGTGGAGTTTCTGGCTCCTGATTTTGACCCAGCCCAGCCGTATCTGTTGCAGACATTTGGGGAATGAAAAGGTGTCCTCTCTTCCTCTCTGTCACTCTACCTTTTAAATAAAAATAGATAAATAAATCTTCAAATGCCTTAACTGATTGAAGACCTTGTATAACTTGGCTTCATGTATACCACTTCAGCCTCATCTCTCATCAGAATTCCTTCACATTGCATTTTCCAGCCACATTGAATCTCTTTCAGAATCTCAAATGTACTTTCTCTCTTGCCTCCCGGCCTTCCTAGAATCACAGAACTGTAGAAAAAAGAGACTGGAAAATACCAAAATCACATCTTTCCACCAACTCCCTTCTTATCTTCAGAAAACTCAATCCCATTTATTTATTGCATGTCTGCCAAAGGCAAAAATACTACAGACACATAATGAGTAAGGCACACAATCCAGTCCATGCCATGCCTATGGTGTCTGAAATCTCATTGCTTTCCTTAAACCTCAGTTTAAAACTTGACATTCCTGAGTGGGATCAGTTAGCCTAGTTAAGAGCCATATGTTCCACATTGGAGTGCCTGAGCTCAATTCCCAGCTTGGGCTCCTAGTCTACTTCCCTACTAATGTGTACACTAGGAGGTGGTGGTGATGGCTCAAGCAACTGGGTTCCTGTCATACTCATTGGGGACCTGGACTATGTTGCTGGCTCCTACCTCTGGCCCCAGCCCAACCCTGGCCATTGCAGGCATTTGGAGAATGAACCGAACCGACAGATGGGAGCATTTACTCCAACTTTGTTTCTCCCTCTCTCACTCCCTCTTAAATAAGTTTCTTCTAAAAATTTAAGTCCCTGAAATGCAGCTCTCTTCTTCCAACTTAAGTTCAAGCCTAAGAACCTACCTGTCCCTGACGATACAGTTTTACCAGAATGTTTCATCCTCTTCTCTGCCAATTCACAGCCCACACATCTCCTCCCAATCTCTACACCTCAAGGAAGCTTTCCATCATAGCCCTACCTGGTTGTTCACACTTAGATCTGAAAACTTAAGTTTCTGTTGGCTTTCTAAGCTGTTGCTTAGGGCACTACAGTTGGCACCAATCACCAGGGAGTCTCAGACCAAAAACCCTACATTTAGTAGTAGCTATGTATAGTGTTGCATCAGTCAGGGTTGGCTAGGATTTTGAAGTTTAAAATTATAGGGCCCAGAAGGGAAGTAGAGGGAAGATCCTTCCAGAAGAAATTTAATAGCAAGCATTTCTGGTTTGCTCCTGGGCATATACAGGGCAAAATGATGGAGCTGGGCAAAAACACTTATCTGCAATTGAAAAGCTCTATTCTGTATCTTCTTATTCAAGGAATGTGGCTTCCTAATGGAGATATGAATCTTGGTGGGAGTTTTCCTTCTGTAGATGACTGGAAGGCTTGGTGTTATTATAATTGCAAAAAACCATCCACTTGGAGTTGATGAGTTATAAAGTAGTCTTCCATACACAGTGACTGGAGGCAGGCTTTGTGCATGGATACTACATGCCTACATGGAGTTAGCCCTGTTTGACACTTTTTTGCCTACCAAATTCATGGCTTCTATTACATAAATGATGGATAGTACCTAAAATTTCTTACCACCCATCACTGAATAAGAGGAAGTCTTCTTTCCCAACAGAGAAAGCGGCTAGAACACATTCTGTACACCTCTGTTCTTCAAACTTATTTGAACTTTCCTAATAACTGAACCTTCTTCATCTGTTTGTAATGGCCCATCCCCACACCACCAGCCATATCAATGAATCAGAAATATGGATTGTTCAAGCACAACAAAAACAGAATTCATAGCAACTAGAGTTTTATGCAGAGGTAGTAATGAAGCATAATAATCCCTGTTGACCAGAAGCCCAATTACTACTAATAAAGAAAAGAAATGCAAAAGTGTCAAACAGGGTAGAAAGCACACAGCTAGGTTCAAATACTGAATTAGGGACAGTGCTGTGGCATAGAGGGTAAAGCCACTGCCTGCAGTGTCAGCATTCCATATGGCTCCATTTCAAGTCCCAGCTGCTCCACTTCTGATTCAGCTCTGCTATGGCTTAGGAAAGCAGTAGAAGATGGGCCAAGTCCTTGGGCCCCTGCACCCGAGTGGGAGACCTGACAGAAGCTCCTGGCTTCGGATCAGCTCAGTGCCGGCTGTTGCAGCCATTTGGGGAGTGAACCAGCAGATGGAAGATCTTTCTCTCTGCTTCTGCCTCTCTGTAACTCTGCCTTCCAAATAAGTAAATCAATCTTTAAAAAAAATACTAAATCACTAGAAATAGGATCAAGTGGCCATTTGTCTTATATCTTATGCCTGTTTTGCTTTGATTTCCCCAATGGAGCACATACTAGCCTAATATTATTTCAAAGTCTACTGAGGATTTTAGATGCTCCTCCTAAGGCAGGCTCTGGGCTCTAGCTGAATGTTTATGAGTCTAAGACACCTTTTCTTCTATCTATTTCAAAATGGGTTTGTATATATATATATATATATATTAGGTAGAAAGACCAATAAGCCCGAGAGTAAAATGATTGGATATAACACCAACCCCATGTTTTACCCACAACCCTAGAGGACTAAAGATTCTGTGACCAAGATAGCAAAAGCTCCCCATAAAACTGCCTGCAGAGGGGCTGGCGCTGTGGCACAGCAGGTTAAAGCCCTGGCCTGAAGCGCTGGCATCCCATATGGGCATCAGTTCTAGTCCTGGTTGCTCCTCTTCCGACCCAGCTCTCTGCTATGGTCTGGGAAAGCAGTAGAGGATGTCCCAAGTCCTTGGGCCCCTGCACCCACGTGGGAGACCTGGAAGAAGCTCCTGGCTTCAGATTGGCGCAGCTCTGGCCATCGTGGCCATCTGGGGAGTGAATCAGCAGATGGAAGACCTCTCTCTCTTTCTCTACCTCTCTCTGTAACTCTGTCTTTCAAATAAATAAAATTAATTTTTTTTAAAAAAAAAAAGAATGCATGCAGAGTGACTTCCATATTTTCCTCACCTCTGGTATGGTCTTATTATTGCTCAAAGCACATTTGAGTGATAACACTCAAGTTGATACATTGCATTCCATCTAGGAACCTTTCAGTGAGTGTTTCTGTATAAAGCAAGCATCAAATAAGGGAACTATTAGATTTGTAGACTAAAGATATTTGAGTTTGGAAAACATTTATCAATTATCTTCTATTTGGAAAACAACAGACTTAGCACTAGGGTTAGGGTGGTCTTCAAAGACGACAGAGACACAAGAACCTTACCCTCAAACTTACACAGAGGGAAAAGGACAATGAAATAAATAAATACAAAAGGAGGACAAAGTCCAGCTGTCTAGGGTTGAGATTTCTGAAAGAGAACCAAATTTGGAACTCCACCATCAACACCTTTTAAATATTGTTAATTCTTCCTAAGCAAAATCTTTTAATATCTGCCAAAGAGAGATACTATAATAAACAGAATATGTGCCTTGGAGAAAGCTGTACTGTTTTACTATTTTCTGAGCAGAGGCTCTGAGATCTACTTTCTTTTTTTATTAGAAAGGCAGAGTTACAGAGAGGAGAGGGAGACAGACTGACATGAGAGAGAGAGAGAGAGATACCCATCTTCCATCTGCTGCTTCACTCCCTAAATGGTCACAACAGCCAGGGCTGAGCCAGGCTGAAGCAGGGAGCTTCATCTAGGTCTCCCACATGGGTGCAGGGATCCAAATACTTGGGTCAATCTGCTGCTGCTTTCCCAGGTGCATTAGCATGGAGCTAGACCAGAAGTAGAGCAGCCAGGGCTGGAACAGGTGCCCTTATGAGATGCCAGCATCACAAGCCGTGGTTCAATCCACTATGCCATAATGCCAGCCCCAAGACCTACTTTCTAATCCAGTTGGTTTTGATATGGATGATTTGGTTAAAAAGATAGTAAACTAGCCAACAGATCAAAAGGATCAGAACGGCCCACTGAGGCAAGATCACAATCCATCTACCAGCAGATACTTAGATTCTACAGCAGACTGGCAGGCATACAGATTTACTGATCCAGGAAGATGTCACCATAACCATGTGCCCCAAGGCCCTGTCACTATTTTGCACCCTGGGAAGACAGTAATTGTGGTCCTAGCAGGAAAGTCTGAAAAAAAAAAAAAAATCAACTGCAGGGCTTCCCAGTACACTGTATCAAAAAAAAAAAAAAAAAAAAAAAAAAGCCTTTGCTGATATGTAGAGCATTCAAGAAACTCAGGATTCTGAAAATCCTCAGCCA